ATATATATATATATATTTGGGCATATAGTCAGCCTTTTGGCTCTATGCTGGCTTTCTCACTGATCTCCCTCCAAGCCTGCCTCCACCCTATCCTCCTACAGTGGCCCTTCCATTCCTAGATAGTCTTACAGTCACCCTGATTCATCTCTACCTCTCTTCCCAAATCCAAGCCACCAGGGAACCCACCACCTTTATCTTTTGGACAATCCCAGCACTTAACCAACTCTGCTGCCTCCCGGGCTAAGCTCCCAACAGGACTGGAAGAGCAGCAGTAGCTGATGTGTCAGGCTGATCTTTGCCCTCCACCCCACCCCAGAACCTAGCCTCAATGCAGCGGCTAGAGTAATGCATACAAAACTACCAAATCAGATCCTGCTCCCTTCCTTCCTCTCTTCGTGATCCAGTTTTGGCTCCCATATTCCCATCAAAAAATCCAAAGTTTCTATTGGCTGATAGGGCCTCATATTGTCCCCCATTATCACCACCACTTCTATCCTCTCCTGTCTCACTTAGCCACACAGTCTCCTGGCTGATCCTCTCACATGACAGGCATGTTCCGCCTCAGATCTTTGCACACTGCCTGATCTTACAGACAGGAGCCTTCCCCTGAAGGGCTCCATGTGACTTCTCTCTCCTAATCTCTCCTTTAGTGAGGTCCATCCAGATCCTCCCCTCCCCCATTTCCCACTGACTTTACCTTGATTTTTTTACTCACTGCACTGAACATTTTCTGTTCTTTTTGAAATAGGGTCTTGTGATGCATTCCAGACTGGCCTTGAACTATGTAGTCCAAGCTGCCCTTATCCTTAGGGTGAAGCTCTTGTCTCAGCTGCTTAAGTGCTGGGTTTACAGGCGTGCATCATCATACTTAGCAGCACAGAGGATCTTCTAATCAGCAATATAATTTAGAGGTTGTGTTTACTATTTCCTTTCTGAATTTAGTCCCACCTCTAGAGTGCAATAAGGCAGAGGCTGTCCCTTGGCTCCCTCCTGTACTTGGAGGTGCTGCAACAGTGCTGGGACCTTCAGAGCTCTCTGTACATGGCAGTAAAATGACAGGGGGTGGGACTCAATGGTAGAACACTCATCTAACTGTAAAAGACCTGAGCTCAAACCCCAGAGCTACAAAAACAAAATATGTGTAGAATAAACAAAACCCTCTTCAATCGAAAAGCAAATTGTGGGTGTGCATGTGGGTAAAGAAGATGTGCCAGGAACCAAAGCTTCAGTCTTTTTTTTTTTTTTATAGCCTGTATTATGTTCAGTTTCTGTAAAAAGCATGGACAAAGAGGGTGAGTGTTCCTGTAATCCCAGCACTCGGGAGGTTGAGGCAGGAAGATTGCTGCAAGTTGGAGGGCAGCGTAGGTTGCAAAATAAGTTCAAGTCCGGACTGAACTATGTAGCAGAACCCTGTCTCAAAAACATTTTAAAAAATGCCAAAAGGGGGTGCTGTGGGGTGGCTCAGTGGAATAAGTGCTTCCCTGGCAAGCTCAAGGACCTGAGTTCAATCCCTGGTTAAAAAAAAAGGAAAACAATGAAAAAGAAGTATAGATGACTTTTGTGCTGGGCTTTCTGGCTGCTCTAGTGTGTCACTATTTTAATTACAACAAAAATTTTCAATTTTTGGTTTGAGGTGGTTACTGAGGATGCAACCCAGAAGTGCTTTACCACTGAGCCACATCTCTAGCTCCCCTCCTTTATTTTTATTTTTTGAATCAGTGTCTCACAAAATTGCCCAAGTAGACCTTGAATTTGTTGTCCTCCACCTCAGCCTCCCTAAATGCAGAGATTACAAGGCATGCACTACTGAGTTTGGCCAGAATAATTTTTTTTAAAGCATAAGGAAATGAAAAACCTGGTGAAAATTCCAAGGTAAGAAACATGCTCAATGATGCTCAAAGGTCTGCAGATCCATTTTCATGGGAGCTATATGTCTGGAACTTGTCAGGGATAAGGACACTTTATTTTCACAGACATATGGGCATATGGCTTTTGAATCTAGAGGTGGCCACATGGCCTGTCCCCACCCTACTGGAAAAGGCCTGACTTGGCAGGCAGAGGTGGTTTCTGGGGGCCAGTCCTGCCCCAGCTCCAGCTGTGGGCTGGGGCTACTATTAGCAGATTCCCCTGGTCTGAGGCCTGTAGCCAGGCCTAGTGCTCTGCTGCTGCTCTGTTCTGTGCCTTTTGTGCATGTAGGGAGTGTGTGAAAAGACTCCTAGGGTCTGCCCACAGAACCTTTAAGGTGCACACATCCCAGGAGCCTGGGGTTCCCCACTTGAAGGAAAGAGCCCAGAGACTCCTGAGAACAGCCTCACAACAGTGCCCTGGGCTGCATCCACCTCTAGGCCAGTGTCCAGCTCTTTCCTGGGGCCACGGGACTTCTGAGTGATTCTCCAGGCTGGAGTTAGGCGCCTAGGGTTGATGGGAACGGGGCTCCGGAAGCTCCCCTCTGCCCAGCTGGCCCTGCTGTGGGCCAGGCAGCCACCAGCTTGAGGGAGTTCTTTCTTCAGGGCTTTCTCAAGCTGGCAGCTGCCTTGCAAGTACAAATTGGATTTTTCCTGATGTCCTTTCCTCAGTGGGCTAGCCTGGTGCAGGGTCTCTCTTAATGAGGTTTTGGCACCAAGGCCTGGGCAGCTCATCCTGTGGTGTTGCCGCTGGTTTAGGCCTGCTGGAGGCAGGGGCAAGGTTCCCAGTTCACCCAGCTAGGGTCAGCCAAATAGCTCAGTGGATTAAAGCATATGCAAGCAGGCTCAGGGGCCAGGGTTCGATCCCTGGGCCTGCTGTGCTGGCCCCACCCCCTGGGTGCACTGAAACAGCAGTTGACACTGGGTGGTGCATGCCTGTAATCCCAGCTCTTGGGAAGCTGTAAACAGGAGGATCACCTAGAGTCTGATCTAGTAGTGAGACCCCGAACACCCTGTAGACCTTTCCTTAAAATACAAACAACAACAACAACAAAACCTCCAGTTCACCCAGGCAGGACACCTGGGCTGCCTGCCGGCCTCCTTGCAGCTCCTGCTGGCCTGGTACTCCCTCCTTCCCAACATATCTTTATTTGCAGTGGATTTTGCTAATAATAAAAAAAGATCAAGGGGTTGAAGGAGGGCAGGGGAATGGGGGAAAAAAAGTTATATCGTGTACAGGTACAAATGCTTTATGATGGATGTGATCATTATGTATATCTAAAATGCACTAATAAAATCTGATTTAAGAAAAAGACCAGTCCAACAGGACACAAGATCCCTGGACCTTAGTTCCCAGATTCAAGACATGAACAGGGGGTTGACCTGGCAGCCTGGAAGCCAAGGGAAAGCAGGGGGCCTTTCCTGGGACTCCTGCAGAGCTCAGACCCTCTGTGAAGCTGCTGGGAATGCACCTCACGTTGCCTCCTTCCGGAGGCCTCTCTCTGTTCCGCTTCCTGGGGCCTCATTAATTCCTCCCCACCTCACCCCGTGAGAAAGCAGGTCTGTGCTACACTTGGCTCAGGCCCAGTGCAAAGCCGGGTCTGAGAGTGCCACTGGTTCGTTTAGGAGACACGAGGTAGGGGGAGGGGGTCTTGTCCTGTCCTCACCCTCATCCAGGCAAGGAGACGAGGAGTCCTCCATCACCATCCATGTCTTACCTCAATCCCACTTTCCAGAAACCCAGGGGCCATGGAGACCAAGAATACTGACACTATAGGTCTTAAATGTAAGGTTTATAAAAGAACTGCCAGCCTCCCCAGCCCTGCTCCATCTGGCCCCTGGGATCTTTGGTTCCCAAGGGCAGGACACTGGGCTCAGAGTTTCTTCCACTGGTGGAATGTGAGCGATGGCCCAGGCTTGTGGTGGGGGAGGCCCAGCCTCCCCGGAGCTGATAAAGGGACAGCTGGGGTCCCTCATTGCCCACAATAGCCCCATTCCAGCAGAATCTTCTGGGCTGGGCCCAGTCAGCAGTAGAGTAGGGTCTCCTCCTGGGGGAGGATGGAAGCATAGGACAAGAGTATTCAAGGGTCTGAGCCTCTGTGTGAAAGGGGCCAGAGGGATAGAAAGAGGGAAAATGGGTGGGATGAGGGAGAGGAGGCTTCTGGGTGTGGACCCTGGCCTTGTAGCAGGGCCAGAGGGTGGCTGCAGGCCTGGTATCTGATTCTTTGTGCTGTAGACCTCAGGAGGCAACTTCCGGGCCTCAGCATATACAGCTGTGGGGCACAAAGTGTTCTGGTGGGATCTGAGGTGACAACTCTACCCTGTTCCCAGCTCAGGGAGCCCAAGCAGCTCTAGAGCCCACCAGATGGTGGCCCAAAGGGGTTTGGTCCACCAAACCTTCCAAGGAGAGGACACAGGCTAGGCCAAATGCCAGAGTATTTAAAACGTGCCATTCTCCCCTCTTTCTCCCCGTGACTGGCCATTGGATGGGGAGGGGCTGGGGAATCTGGGCAGGACACGAGGGTAAGTAAACAGGACAGGGGCTTCCTAGTGGTTTCTTCCATGCTGGCTGGTCCCTGAGACCCAGTCAGTGATGATGAAGCTCAGGCTCATGGTCATCAGCAAGAGGCCAAGCACAGCAAAACACAGGGCCTGTGGGGCCAGGAGAAAAGGTCAGGTTTAAGGTCAGGGAAACCCCTTAGCCCCACACCAGCCTGCTGGCCTCCTGAGGCCCCTCGCACCAGAATTTTGGGGGTGGATCTTGTAGGTTCCTTTTCGGTGGGCATGATTCGGAAGTAGAAGATGGCAGGAAAGATGAAGATGAGGCATGGGGCGGACGTGGCACCTGCAAAGAACAAAGCTTGGGCACCATTGGCTCGTGCCAGGCTCTTCACTGAGACTGGATCAGACCTTCAGTGAGATCAAGTGTTCCTTGTTGGAGCTGTTTTACTTTACTGGAGAGCTCTGAGTGGGTCTGGGGAGCCTACCAACCTCTCACTTCATTCTATGAACAATAGCAATGTCAGCAAATGAGACCAGCAATGAGGAAAGACAAGTTATGACAGAGAGATGAACAGGATGTTGAGTTCCGGAATACAGCTTGCTGGGCTGGGGATTTAGCTCAGTGGCATAGCACCTGCCTAGTAAGCATGAGGTCTTGAGTTCAACTCCTGACACCAAAAACAAAACAACAAACAAAACAGAATACAACCTGCTGTGGCTCGATTTTCCTTCCCTGGGGGATTGAATCCAGGCTGAACCCAGAGTCTTTTTACTGAGTCACATCACAGCTCTGTTAAAAAAAAAACTTAAAAAAATTTCAACACAAGAGGGCTGGCCAGATGGCTCAGTGGATTAAAGTGCCTGCTTAGGCAGATGCAGGGACTAGGGTTCGATCCCGGGCATGCCATGCCAGCCCTGCCCCTGCTCCCAGGGTGCGCTGAGATGGTGACTGAGACTGGGCATGGTGGCACGCGCCTGTAATCTCAGCGCTTGGGAGGCTGAAAATAGGAGGATCACTATGAGTCCGAGCTGTGTAGTGAGACCCTGAAGACCCTGTACTAAAGACATTAACATTTTTTTTTTTTCAACACAAGACTAAGTTGCTAAGTTGTCCAGATGGGGCTCCAACTTGCAATTTTTCTGCTTCTACCTCTTTTTTTTTTTAAGCATATGATCTTATTTTTTTTTTAATTATTATTTTATTTTTGTGTGTGTGTGTGTGTGTGTGTGTGGCCAGCTCAGCCCACCAGGGGGCGCGGCCGGCTGGCATGTGGTGCTGGGGGATTGAACCGCGGTCCCTGTGCTTTGCCAAGCTTGTTCCAAGTAGGTGCTTTAGACCACTGAGCCATCTCACCAGCCCCAGCTTCTACCTCTTGTGTGCTAGGATTATACACATGAGCCACCACTCCCAGTACCAAAGAGGTCTTACTGACTCAATGGTTCTGAGCCTTCAAAAAAGATCGCAGCCAGACTTGCTGACACATGTCTGTAATACCAGCACTTAGGAGGCTGAGGCAAAAGGATTGCTACAAGTTTGAGGCCACCCTGGGCTCCATAATGAGCTCAAGACCAGTCCAAACCACATGGTAAGACACTGTCTTAAAAAAAAATTATAATGGCCTCAAGGACAAAAGTTCAGATAGGAAGCCAAAATAAAAATGTGCACATGACCAGCAGCTACCAGCTGAATGTAGGGTGTGAACTCGGGGATCTGTCAGGATTTGCAGAATTCCCTGGGGCAATACCTTTAGTTCCATAGCAGGGCCAGACTCTTACCGATGATCCCAAAGATGCCCAGGATATTGGGGGCAAAGATAACTAGCAGGTTGATACAAGTGAGCAGGACAGTGGCGATGAGCACGTGCCGCAGCCAACTGAACTCCTGATTCTGAAATAGCATCTGCTGGATGGCACGGCGCACCTAGGGGCAGATGGGGCAGGCATCACCCTGCTGGTCCTGCCAGCTCATCCCCAAGCCCCACCACCAGCCTTCTGGCTCACCGGGAAGAGAACAATTGGCACTGTGAGTGTAACTGCTGTCAGCACGGCCACACGCACACACAGGATCAACACATCAAGTGGGTCCACGAGGCTGTAGGTGTGCAGGAGCTCTGACTCCACCTTGTCTGTGGCAGGCAGGGAGGGTGGTCAGCAGGCCATGGGACATTGGGCTCTGAGCTGCCCGGTGTACCCTGACTCTGAGGGGAGTGGTACACAGACTCACCTCCACAGCTGCAGGCCACAGTCAGGTATCACACACCTAATAAGCACCTATAGTATGTAAGGTCCCATGGCCTCCGTCCAGCCCCTGCTTCCCAGTCTGGCTGCCACCCCTGCCCCCGCCGGTCCAGGCATACCATAGAAGGTGAGATAGCCGAAGAGGGCAGCCAGGAAGTACATGACATACATGACGGCAATGGACAGGTTGGAGATGTGCTGCATCTTTCTCTTGGTGGGGCTGCAGGGCAGTGAGAAAGGCTTTGATGACAAGTTGGGCTACACTGGGAAATCCCATGGCCCCCAGTGTCTCTGGTACCCTCACTATTCAGCAGAAAGGACATCTCTTTTCTACACTCACCTCCTCTGTTGCAGCCGTGGAGGCCTCTGAGCAGATGACTGGGGTCTTGTCATCTCCCCTCTACACACACCCTCATCCATCCTCCCTCAACTAATTCAGGGCAGTCCCGACCTTTCTCCCAGCCCCAGCCACCTACTCCTTGAGCTCTGTATAGATTGGCAGCACCTCAGGGTGGCAGACGAAGGCGAAGGCCATGATGGGGACGGTGTATGCTGTCTGGGGACACATGGGATTGTGTTAAGGAAGCCCCCCAACAAGGCCTTCCCATCCCTGCCCTGGCCTGTTGGAACCTGTGAGTTGAGGGTGAAGTAGCTCGGGGTGCAGAGCTGCAGCTGTGCCTTCTCAGCCAACTCTGTGTGGCTGGAGTTGCTTGTGACGTTGGCAAAGTTGGAGAGCAGTGGGCAGGGCACTTGGAATTTTTTGTAGATGACCTGAGGTAGGGAGGGATGTTGATGTCAGAGCCAGGCTAGGCTGCCTACAAAGACACCATGGTGCCACATTTAGATCAGATGGGAGGGGCTGCCTTCTGATCCAGGCTTCCCAGAGATACCTCCGCCTCCATCTGACAGGGGCTTCCCTTGGGCCATCTGCCCTTCCCTGACCAACACGGAGGGTGGCTTACTGCAATTAAGAAGAACACCATACAGCTAAGGGAGAAGCCACTGGAGTAGCCCAGGTAGCCTGCAGACAGAGGAGATTCTGTGAGACTGGGGCCTCTGGTGTCCCATCAGCTTCCCTCCAGGGACCAGCGCTGGCACACTCACCAAGCTGCCGCATCAGTGCCAGGGGCAGAATGACAATGACAGACACCAGGATCACCAGGTAGTTCCCATTCAGGTACCAGACTCTGCAGAGATGAGAGTATGGAATCAGGGTGAGAGCCCATCCAGCTGGGGGTGGGACCTCCTGTCTTCCCCAGTTAGGGATACCATGGGGGCCACTGAGTGACCTCTGAGGAACATATGGCCATAACTTAGCTTCCCCATACCTATCCGCAGAACGGGTGCACCTTAGATTTCTGTGTGATGTGAGAATGAAAGCTCTTGCTGGTGACCCTTGTGACTGCGGTCCCTACTGGTATTTTTCAAGCCCAGCTCAAGGGAGGAAGGAGGAAGCCAGGGTTCTTGCTCTAGGAAGAGTTGTGTTTACCATGGGGATCTCAGGACTCTACTGATAACCTACACCCCTTGTAAGTCTCTCCTGGCATCGGCATCTTGCCTCTTCCACCCCTCCTCTACCCGCTGGAAATAAATATGGGGCACAGGAAGACAGAGGATAAGGTCCAGATAAACCCAAAGGCCAGCTCGTTCTGCCTCAAGGGCTGAATCCTCATCCATTTCTGATACCCAGAGCTGCTCCCAGACTCACAGCCCCTTTGCTCACCTGATCTGGGCTGCCAAGAGTAGGGCTTGCCCATTTTCTCTCTCCCCCCATTCACAAAACAAGACTGATGCCCAGTTAGTGTGGGCTGAAGTGATGGGCAACTAGGACACCCGGCTTAATCTCTTGGGGGGGGTTGACCCCATGATCAGGAATAGCAGGTACTTAGAGTTAAGCCTGAAGCTCTTGTGCTCACAGATGGGGGGCTGGAGCCAGGCAGGGTCCGGCTGCCCAGCTTCACCCTGCCTCCAGCCCTATGTGATTTCTCCTGGCAGATTCTAGGAGAGGACACATAAATGATTAGGAACTAAATAGTGGTTCTGCTGACAGCTCTGTGCCTCTCCATCAGCCGTGCATGCAGGTGTGTGTGTGTGTGTGTGTGTGTGTGTGTGTGTGTGTGAGAGAGAGAGAGAGAGAGTGTGTGTGTGTGTGTGTGTGTGTGTGTGTGTGTGTGTTCTTTCTCCCCTAAAAGCCCAGTATGGGCCTCTGGGGTCTGGTGTACACAGGAAGACTGGGGCATCCCTCCCACCCTCACCCCCCGGGCTCACAAGGTGTTTTCCTCCAGATTCAGGAAGGTCTGTATGACAAGAGGCAACTCAGACTTGATGATGTACAGGTAGCTGGACATGGCTAGAGAGAGCAGGCAGGTACTGGGGTCAGCTGAACCAGCTGGCCTCTAGACTTGTCCACCTCCACTGCCCCCCATCTGCCATCAGCCTTACCTCCAATGTTCTGTAGTGTGATGGCCAGGGCTGCTGCCAACTTTCCAGGAGTCCCAAAGGCACGGTAGCCCAGCTGCTCATAGGCACGGATGCCTGTGGGAATGGGGTCTGGGGTGAGGACACCCAGGGGAGCAGGCCCAGCCAGCCCAGCCCCACCCCTCTGTGGGTGGTGGGAGGCTCACCCACGATCCCAGAGGACTTGAGGAGCAAGTGGATGGAGTAGCTAGAGAGCAGGGCAACAGCTGTCAACAGGAATCTGGGGAAGAGGAGGGAAAGAGGTCAATGGGAGGACCCTTGCTGGCAGAGGGAGGGACTGTGGGAAGCCTACATGGTGGAAGGTGTCTGCAAGCTGGACGTCTGAACTCTGAGAGGCATAGACGTGAGCTTAGCAGGAGCCAGGGAATAGTGAATACCACCCTGTTTGACCCAGGTGAACCCAAAAGGGACATCTGTGTCAAGCACATCTGTGGCTGTCCTCTGAGCACCTCCTTTCCTGGTGTCCCTGGGACAAACATGTTTTCCATTCAAGCTGTAGGGCAGAGCCCCACAGGCCAAGGACGCATGTGGCCAAAGAAACCTGGCCACAAGGTTGTCATCATGTGTAAACGTTATTACAGTACAGATTCAAGCCTATAAGGGTGGCCCTGTGTCATGACCCAGTGGGTTTACTGGGCAGTGAGGTATATTTATCTGACTGTGGGTGTTTTTGCAGCTGTGGTTTGGACAGAGAAGTGGGAGGTCCTGGGAGGTCACGGTGGGTGGCTCGTTCGGGGCTCCCATCTTCAGACGGTTTGCTGTGGGCACTCACAGGAAAAGGATGATGCCTGTGTTGGCCATGGCATAGGCGAGCCCCAGGATGCCGCTGCCCATGATGGCGTTGCTCAGGTTGAACACTGACATCCCGAATGAAGTTTTCCCCTCGAACTGTGGGCACCAGAGTTGAGGGGAAGTAAGGGGAATCAGCGAGACGCAGAGTCAGCTTGGCCTTCCCTTCTCATTCTTTGGCCTCCTGTTGCTGCCCCTAGAGTACCCCATTACTGTGTCCAAGCTCCCCACAAAGCCCCAGACCCCCAGCTGCCCAGCTCACATCTGTGAAGTGTGGCTCCTTGCTGAGGCTCTTCTGCAGGAAGCCTCTGCTCTCCACACAGCTCTGGCTGGGGTCTTCCACCCTGCAGGCATAGGCCAGGGGAAGGGGGCTCAGCTCTAACCCCCTGCCTTGTGCTGTCCTTAGCTTCCACTGGGTTCCTCTTCTACTCACCTCTGGTTGTCGGCTTCAGGAGTTCCAAGTGAGAGTAGCCCCTCCAAGTGCTTGCCATTGGGCACCAGCTCCACCATCTCCGTCCGCAGAGGCGCTTCCATGGCTCAGGACGAGCACCAGAAGCACAGCTCCAACACTAACAAGTCAGGGGTCTGTGGAACAGCCATTCCTCTGGTTATCTCCCTCCTTAGGCCCACAGCCCCACCTCCTCCCCAAGGAAGAGGCAGTAGTAGCATAGCGCCCAGAGGGTCCCTCAGGATGGACACAGCTCTGCCAGTGCCTCCTGGAGTTGCCTTTGTGGGTGCAGAGGTTGGACACTTGAGTTCCCCACCTTAGACAGTGTATATCCCCTACACACACCAGCCTAGGCAAGTTATTGGTCTTCAGTTTCCCCATCTGTGAAGGGGATAATCTGAGTTTGGAGTCCAATGGCACCCAGACCCCTGGATGCAGATTCCCAGGCCTTCAGACCCCTGTCTGCACATGCAGCCCAGGGTGTTTCTCCCTCCACATGAGTTCTGGAAGGTAGTTTCTTGCTCTTCCCTGTGTGCCAGGGGCTTCCTAGCCAACCTAGAATGGCACTGCCTGATGGCTGGAGGCCTCGGGAGAGGGTAAGGGCTGTGGGCCCTGTTCCCAGCTGCCCGGCGGGCACTGCTGGCAGCTTGAACAAAGGGTCCTCTGTGGGCTGTGAGCTGGCATTGGGAACAGCAGGCACAGAGGCTGCCCCTACCCCTGAAGCCAGGAGGCCTGAGGCAGTGCTGGGTGACTGGACACCTGGGCCCTTCCTGCCTGGCTGTGGGCCATTTCCAGGAAATGGGTGTTAGAGGGCCCAGTTCTCCACCTTACAGTCCTCATCTGCCATCTAGCCTTGCCCTCCAGGCCCTGTTCTTCTTCTAGACTCTCCTCTTCTCTCCTGCCATGAAGCCCCAAGCCACAGGTGCCCACCACCCAGGACTACATCATCTCAACAGAGTTAGCATAGTTGGATGCTTCGAGCCTCTCTGACTAGAAGCTCATGAGTTAGCCAGCTGGCGAGGAGCCTGGCTCAGCAGTGCCCCTTCTCCACTCTCAGGGCCTTGTTCTGCGGGGCCCTAGAGGGTCCTGCTTCTCTCCTCTTCTTCCCTGTGCTGAGCACAGCCCAGATGACTCACTGGCTCCCTTCCCATCACCACAGCCAAGCCTTGTCTGCCCCACGTCCAGAAGGTGTCTGGGAACTGTGAACCCAGGGTCTGTTAGGACATCCTGGAGATCAGACCAGCAACCAGCAGGAGAGCTGAACCAAAAAGTGAGGTGGCTCTGCCACAGAAGACAGCAGGAGCCTGATCTTAGGCCATGCCCCACCCTCCACTTGGCAGTCCCAAATCCTATCCTAAATATCCCCCTTCCCATTCCAGACCCTGACAGTCTTAGCTTTGTCTTTTCTTTTCCTTCTTTTCTTTCTTTCTTTCTCTATTTTTCTTTTCTTTTCTTTTTTTTTTTTCTTTTTGGCGGAACCAGGGATTGAACTCAGGCCCTTGCACTTGCCAGGCAAGCACTTATTCTACTGAGCCATCTCCCCGGCCCCCTCTATTTTTCTTTATTTTTATTTTTATTTTTTGGTCTTTTTGAAACAGGGTCTCATTATGCAGTTTAAGCTGGCCTTGAGCTCACTTTGTAGCCCAGGCTAGTCTCAAACTTGCAACAATCCTGTTGCCTCAGCCTCTCCAGTGCTGGGATTACAGGCATGAGCCACCATGCTTGCTTCTTTCTTTCTTTTTCTTTTTTCTTTTTCTTT